CTAGACAAACATTTTTTTTTATTTTATTAACACCTAAAAGGAGAGGAAGGTAGAAGGAAAGATATGAGAAGCTTGAAAATCAAAGGTGAAAAAACCCACAAAAACAACACCAAAACCACCCAAAAAAAAACCTCATAAACAACATCATACTGCTCAAACTCTCATATTCAAACAGTAGAATGTTTTGAGTAATTTCAATTCTATAATTTCATCTACAATACTAGATCTTAAGGTAAGTACAACATATTGTGTTCTTGAATCTAATTTAATTTATGGGACTATGATTATTTTTCATTTTCATTAACATTGAAGTTATTGCAGGAAATCAATACAATTCATGGAAAGAAGAGAAGAGAAGAATCAGATTAAATCGACGGAGCCAGAATTTGTGTTACAGTGGGGGAAAAGACTTAGATGTGTTCGCGTTAAAAACCCAAATTTCTCATCTAAATCCACCGGCGGAATCCGCCAGAAAATCACATCTCGCATCGTTACAGACTCCGCCGGTGACCCTTCTTTTTCGCCCCTCCGATGCACCACCAACAATAATACAAGCACCAACCATAACAACAGGTAATCATACATACTGTTAGAGAGATATGAACAATATTATCAGAAAATATATGTGTATGATAATTGGATTGATGGGTTTTATCTAGTGTTTCAAAATTTTCATTAATTTGTGTTCTTATTCGGCTTTTGTTGAAGGGTCTCGGATGTGTCCGGACATCTAAAGTCGCCGGAGAAAGAAGAGAGGTATTATACGACGAGAGGGTCAACGATTGGAGAAGAGAGAGAAAATGGGAAGTCGATAATAATGGCGGAAGGAAATGGGTTTGGGATTACGGCGCAAGATAAAGGGAGTTTGATATGGCCGAAGTTGTTTATAAGTTTATCAAGTAAAGAGAAGGAAGAAGATTTTCTTGCCATGAAAGGTTGTAAACTTCCTCAAAGACCTAAAAAGAGGGCCAAATTGGTTCAGCGTACTTTACTTGTAAGTTCAAACATATTAATCTTTCAATATTTTTTTTTTTTAAAAAAAATTAAAAAAAAAATTGATTGAGTTATTACTTTGGTATGAATTCTTTTTTTAGGGGATTTTATGATTTATTTAATTCGATATAATTTGTGGAAATGATTTTGGTTAGCTTAATTTGTGGAAATGATTTTGGTTAGCTTTTTCGAGATTGTGTGAATTCTTATATGTGACAGGCCACACTAGTAGACGTCTTGATTGTATTGGAGATGCCGTAACCTGATTTGGTGATGATTGGTTTTATATGGTTGACGAAATTTGAAGTTTTAATTTAAAAAAAAAAGAAAATGAAGATATTATTGGTTGAATGGTTGGTGTATGAAATTTGTAAAAATTAGTTTTAGTTAGGCTGATTTGGTGGTATTTGGAATGGCAGTTGGTGAGTCCAGGAGCATGGTTGTCTGATATGTGCCAAGAGAGGTATGAAGTTAGAGAAAAGAAGACTCCCAAAAAGGTAATATTTCAATTATTCTATCATTTTTGCTCTTTTGAAAATCGTTTTTACGAGTAATTATTTTTTCAAATATGGAGTACCTTCAATTAGATGATATGTGTGCAACTTCGTGCTCCACACTCGTGGAATTTGTGTGTATGAGCAAGTATTGTAGGTTTAAGAACTACGGAAATAGGGAAACTCGAGCAGTCAAGTTTGTAGCAGTGATATATGCTTATAAAACTGTAGTTTGTTTATCAAGAGTGTGTGTTACAGATTGAAGGACTAATAGGGTATGACATCTTTGAGATTAATTTAGAGTTGGTAATTGAATTGGAATATGCTGCTATTCGTTTATCACTGTTATAAACTTGGCACAAGTTCGAACTGAAGCTATGTTCCCAATTACACCTAATAGGGGACCTTTTTTGGGTTAGTTGATACTTCAATGTACTGGGACTGAAACTCGATCTTACCTTCTGATTGTTAGTTTTGGATTGGGTGTTAACTTGTTATAACTAAAATTATGCTACTTAATCGGGCTGCTCAGTTACAACTAATAGGGGATTGTTTTTGGGTTAGTTCAAACGATGTACTGGCACTGAACTCAATCTTACTTTCTGATTGTAGTTTTGGATGATTGGTTGTTATCCTTGTTATGATGTACTGGTTTGTAATCCAAATATCCAATGATATAATCTATTTATCTTAATGCTGATTGGGTTGCTTCGTAATGAAACAGAGACCAAGAGGACTAAAGGCTATGGGCATGGGAACGATGGACAGCGACTCGGAGTGAAGCGAGCTCCTTTCGACGACAGCTACTGTCGTTTTGCAAAATTTAAATTAGGATATTTTGTAGATCTGATTTTTGCTTCTATGCAAATTGTATTTTTTTGTTCACTGATTATTCTTCCCTTAAACCATGAATTAAGGAACGTCATCCATCTTGTACATATCAGTGCTTGAAAAAAAAATACAAGATTTTCACTAATTGGTAATAATAGATTAATTTTTTGCTTTGAGTTTCAAGATTTCCAGTTCGTTACTGCCTTGCAAGAATTTAAATAATTTTGTTCATTGTATCACCATTAACCAAAGATAAATACTACCTCTTGTTTCACATATTTTTACACTTTAAAGGTGTAGGTAAAATTTGTTTGTTAGTGTAAGATAGAGAGACAAAAATAGGAATGTATATGATGAGGAGAGATATAGAGAAAAATGAAACCTAAAAATAAAATAAAACATTAGTTGCAAATAATGTGTAGCATCATTTTTGACAAAAGTTGCAAAAAAATATAAAACGGGGATATTATTTATGTAATTTAACATTTTTTTATTTTTTTTTGAAAGAATGTAATTCGACATTTTGAATACTAAGAAAAAGAATATAAAAGTCTATTTTGCATAATAGCCTGCCAAACAAGATTGTGACATTTTCTACAAAATATGTGTTTATAAGAATCACTCTATTTTCCAAATTTAGTGTTTTTGACCATTTGCAGTGAATTGCGATTTGCAATCAACCTTTTTAGAGAAACGCCTTTGGTAAAAATAAATAAAAATTTAAAATTATATAGCAAGTATTTCTTTCTTTTGGACGGGTTTGTATGTCAAAAGGCGTTTTCAGCAATTAAAAAGAAAAAAAAATAAAAAGAAAAAACTCTTTTAATTGCTCTCTAAAAAGAGAATTACTTTAGTGTGTAGTTTCAACGACAAGCCTAATACTACTTTAATTGCTAAAATGTTCACATGTTCAGTTCACACATAATTTACAATAATGGTAACCAAGATTGGATAATCTATAGCTGCAAGTATTCTTTCACTATACAACGCAAAGGTTGCAAATAATCTGCTCCATTGTTTTTGTATTGCCCCTTGGCCCCCTTCTATATTTATGTTCACCTCCAATTTGAAGCAATATTTCTGTCACCACCTGTTATGTATATCTACAAAACAAGATAAACACGATTGGCAAAGGTATAACAGAAAATAAATAACCCAAAATAATGAAATATGATAGTCTTACAACGTTATCACATTACTAACTAAAAGTACTTCGTGGTAACTTTCATTTTTCACGGTTTACCAGGCATTTTATAGTTAGAGAAAGAGTGATTATAACGATATATGGGAAAATCTTCAGGACTCAGGAGATCTGACACATGCAAGGGGGAAAAATGATGAATGAACTAAATGATTTTGGTGAACAAACTGAGCTCAAGCTCTTGGGGTTAGGTTAGCCTTGAGCCCAAGCTCAGAGTTTTTCCAAGCCAAGCCTATTATAACCTTAAGTTTGGGCTCATCTTTGCACATTGAAAATAAGAACTTGGTGTATCAGAGATTGAGAACAAGGAGCACTTGCATTCAGCAATTGGCATGTCTACACTACAAGAAAGCAGAGCAAAGAGGCGAGTTTTAATCAACAAGGCTTGTTTAAATTATCAAGTAGGGCGCAACTACATTGCCTTAATAATCTATACTTCTATTCTAATACTGAAACTTTAAAGGCCAACTAAAGTGTAAATATTTTGAAAAAAAAATATTATAAAAACTCTTTTTTTTATGCTTCCAATCACTTCAAAAATACAATGATCTATTTTCATTAGTCTCTTAGTTTTGAATTTGTTATATACACCCGGGTGTACCGCACACTCAACTAACCAAAAGTTAGTTTTGCTCTTCATTTGATGTAAAATGAAAAACAATCATCAAAAAAAGAACAAAATACCCATTGGTGGACAGTACACCCAGGTGTATATAACAATTTCTCCTTTTGGCTCTTCTAACTTCATTATACTTTGTATTATTTTTTAATAGTTTATCTTCCCTCTCTCACTTTTTACTCTTTCTCTATCTTCCCTCTCTCTACTATTCCTCTTTCTCACCCTAAATCTATAACAATTTATCTCAAAGTAATTTTAAAAAATTATAACAGTCAAGATCTATATAATTTTCGAGAAACGATAGCGGTGTTGAATTTAAGGGTGCAGTCAAAGTCGACTTTATTTAAAGAACAAATACTCGTGTAAATAAACAACATATATTAGCCAAAAATAAACACATCACGCGGGCTAAATACTAGTTACATATCATAGAGAGTGAAATTAATGTCGCCTTGTTATAACAGAACAAATACTCATTTACCTCTTTGACTTGTCCCACAGCTTCTAATACATTGGATCATCATTAGCTAGCGATGATCAAGTCATATTTGAACTAGAGCCATTAATGTCAATGACCCCATTCTCATCTTCATGCCGACTTTCAATCTTTGCCTAAAGTTCCTAGAAAATACATACATACACTTATTAGTTGGATTTTTTTTTCTCCACAAACACACACATGCTACTGACAAGAGGGTATTAAGTTGCATGAACCTTTGATAAATTACTACTAAGTACTAAATGAAGCTCTCCAATTCATAAATTATGCGATTATTTGATTTTGCACCACATGCTGACTTGATCTTCTTTGCAAGAGCATTTGTCCGATTCTCCTTAATTTTTTTCCTAAATGTTAAAAAATAGCATATTAGATTAGTACAGGGGAAAAAAATGTCAATTGCACAATTTTGATTACATGAGCATTCCCAATACTTACCCTATGTTTAGGAGAGCTCCAATATATAAACAAGTCACTTCCATTGGTCAATTTTTATTGTAGGTGGGCAAGTGCGCTCCAACTCTATGAATTTTTTCAAATCACACTTTCTTTCCACTATAAGTACTTCTTTGATTGTGGTGAAAAAATGTGCTCACTATTACTACTGAAAATGCTGAATCCAGCTTAGATTCGGATCAACATGATGGGGTTGTCGGTATTCTCGAAAGTTTAGTCCCTGATTTGGCTAACTTGAGGCTTACTCCTTATAATGTTTTAGATATTAGGCACTAACGTCAAGTAGATATTGAGGTCTACTATTGTTAGAAATGAAACTCGGAAGGAATGAATATTCTTCATATTCGTATCATGTAAGAACCATTGCCGAAAGTATCAATGGGAGCTCCAATTGATGCATGAAATGCACTTGGAACAAACACGTTAAATAGCCACCACATTATGAGAAATGAGCTTTTATTTACCGTGAGAATAATGTCTAGGTCTAGTCTAGGATAATTTTTACATATATTTATATCCCTGATTAACAAATTCGATGCTTACAATTAAAGTTGAGAGCTAATAATCAACCTCCATCCTCGGTGTTTTCATTAGGTTCTCTTACCTAAGTTCACGATAACTATACGCACCGTAAGTTACAAGTCTTGTACCGTTGGAGGAGTGACTGTTTGGAACTAGTCGTGCAACTCCAAAACAATTAAAGTGGACCTCCTTATTCTATCTTGGAAAGGAGCAGCTATGAACATTACTGGTATAATGGCCGGTTCATGTTTATTAATTAGCTTTTGTTCTTTAGCTAATTGGTTCATTAACGCGGCAACTATTTAATGTGTCCAACCTAAGTCTCCCAAGTACATTCGTGCACCAATTGGAGCTTCCATTGGTACTTTCAACAATGGATATGGAACAATACAAATATGAAGAATATTCATACCTTCCGGGGTTCGTTTCAAACAGTAGTAGACCTCAATGTCTACTTGACGTAAGTGGACATTGTTGCCAAATATCTAAAGCATTATAAGGAGTAAGCCTCAAGCTAGCCAAATCAGGGGCTATACTTTCGAGAATACCGACAACCCCATCAAACTAATCCGAATTCAAGATGAATTCGGCATTTTTAATATTAATAGTGAGCACATTTCCATCACCACAATCTAAGGAGTATTTATAGTGGAAAGATAGTGTGATTTGAAAATGTGCTTCGGTTGTAAATTCAAAAAGGCAGAGCGTGCTTGTCCACTTATAATAAAATTGACCGAAGTGACTTGTTTATAATTATTAGAGCTCTCCTAAACAGAGGCAAGTAATGGGAATGCTCTTGTAATCAAAATTTTGCAGTTGACATTTCTTCCCCTTTACTGATCTAATATGCTATTTTGTAACCTTTTGGAGAGGAGTGAGAAGAATCGGGCAACTGCTTTTGCAATGACGATCAAGTCACCATGTGGCGCGAAATCAATAGATCACATAATTTATGACTAGGCGAGCTTCATATAGAACTTAATAATTTATCAAAGGTTCATGCAGCTTACTACCGTCTGGATAGTAGCATGAGTGTGTTTGTGAAGAAAAAATTCCAAATAATAAGTGTATGTAAGCATTTTTCTAGGAACTTGAGGCAAAGACTGTAAGTCAGCGTGATGATTAGAATGAGGTTACTGAAATTAATGCTTCTAGTTCAAATGTAACTGAATCATCACTAGCTAATGATGATCCAATGTATTTGCATCTATAGGACAAGTAAGAAAGGTAAATGAGTACTTGTACCATGCATGCACACTTTGTTTTCCTTTATTGCAAAATTATGAGTTTCTTATAGGTATAAAAATGGGAAGTTTGACGATGAGATTGAGGTGAAGTTCAATGAATTTAGGCAGTTACATGAGAAAGAAATTGGAGAAAAGAGGGTCGATAATCTTACTCTTGAAGAAGCTTATGTGAAGGTTCTTGGACAGTGTTTTAGTTATGCCCGAGGTTTAGGCAAAGGACACCCCTTGTTGGCCAAGGATGGAAAGATAGGAAGGGATGAGCTAGAGCATAATGTAGAACAACTGCAAAATGAAAACATCATGCGTGCTGAATTGCTAGAGGGTAAGAAGAAACAAGAACTTAACCTCGGTTAGTCATGTAGAGATTGGCATTGATGCTTGATAAATGTAATTTTTCTAACTGCAATGCTTAATTCTTGCAAGATTCAGGCACTTTAGAATGCATGTGTGCTGAATAAAATATGCTTGGTTCTTAGGATTAGCGTGTATGATGTTGAATTAAGTGTATGTTGTTGAATGTTGACTTCGGTTTTTGGTTTAATTGCCTTCTGTCAGTCAGATTTAAAGAACATCTTGTTTTAAATGATTTGTATAATGTTCTGCATGACTTTGTTCCTACTGAATCAGATATTTTTATACTCTTTATGTGTTTGGATCCTTCCCTTGTGTCCCATGATAAATATGTTTTTGGTCTAGTCCCTCATAAAATCCAAACCTGTACCCATTGCTTTTAGTATCCCTCTGTTCATGGCAAAAACAGGTGTTATGATTTAGCTAATATTCATATTGCATAAGTTATATATGTGGTTTCATTAATTTACAAACTATCTCTGTTCATTTTATGTTGTTGCTGTCAAGCATACTTACAGGTACTTGCTGGAATGGTAGCTGGTAGCAATGACCTATTTTGTCACAGCAAAATATGTGGAATGGTAGCCACATGAAGACCAAAAGGAACAACCCACAGGCCTATTTTAATTGCATATTTTTGTAGCTATGCAGCTTGTACATATAATTTGAAATTTTAGTACTCAGGCTTAGTTATATTATACTTAGAAGTTAACACTTTTTTATTAAACTATTAATAATGACAAAGCTAAAAATTATGCCTTCTAACTGTTAACCCCTTTTTTTCTTAATGTAATCCCTCCTAGATTTAATTTTTTTAAAAAAAACTAAAAGATGGACAAAGAGAACAATTTCTATTTTCGACCTTTAAAATTTGAACAAACAGGGCGAATTTTGAGCAAGGAGGGCGAAATAAACTGACTTGTTTGAGTTGTTTACAGAGGGCAAAAATAACTTATCCTGCTAGATTCAATCAAAGAGGGCGAAAATTTTGCCCTCTTAGATTCTGATCAAAGAGGGTGATATTTATTGCCTTTGTTGATCTTTAACAAAGAAGGCGAAAATATGTCGTTGCCCTTTGAAACTAATACAACTATACTAAAAGAACGAGCTTGAGGGCGATTTCAAAGTCGCCCTTTAAGCTTTTAAGGGCGATATTTGTATCAAAGAGGGCGATTTTAATTGCCCTCTTTGATCTTATATAGTAGTGACAAGCTCTACAATTCCCCTGGTTTTAGAGGTGATGTTAATTGTACCAGGGGGTTGACCCCAGCTTGGTTCTCTCCATACTGCATGATCCAAGCCCGGAGATCAGTTGGAACACGTAGGTTGTGTTACATACATATATATATATATATATATATATATATATATATATATATATATATATATATATATATATACAAACGTCATCATTGAGAGATTCTTTGATTAATTGATTATTTTGCTACCACTAACTTAAAGACCGCATGGAAATATAAAAGCGAAACCCAGTTGGTGTCCAGCTGAAATTAACTAGCATAAAATAAAACATTAATGCACAAGCAAAGATCTGTTTGATTGAATATGCAATAAGAAGAATGAGATATCAACTAGATAAAAGGAATTACGGATCCTGTCAAACAATTTTGGGGACTGATATAATTTCAAAACTTTGAAATCACTTACATTTTCTCTTGAGAGACACAAGTTTTAATAGCTTGACTTCGCCGCTTGAAGCATTTCAACTATAAGTGTCTTCACATCCCTGACAAAACAAAAGAGAGGTTTAGTTTCTGCCTGGTTCATTGAGTTGTTCACAATCACGACAGATGAAGGGAATTTCCAATCACTGGAATGAACAGGTGCTAAAATCAAATACCTTCTCAGGATTATTGGAGGTTTAGAAGTACAATTTTAAAAATAAATAAACATTGAGCAAATATTTCCTCCAGCAGTTTAAAGTTTTGACAATTTTAACTAGCAAATGGAGCCACTTTCTTCTTTACAATTACTTTCCTTCCTAGATTTAAATATATATCCAGTGTAATTCATTATTAAACATGAATATGTTTTCAGATAAAACCATATTCTCCTAACAATGACAATACCTGGAAGAGGAAATATTTAAAGATCATTCAGTGACTTACTTTCTATCAGCTGCTGGTCTAGGAAATGGAATTCGAAGCTTGTAAGTTTTCTTCATATAGCTAACCTGAAAAGATAGACAAATAACTGTTAGCTGCGCTCTATCTTTCAGTGAAGTATCAATTTTTCAAACTTGAATTAGTGGAAAGCACCAAAAAGCTAAAATCAACCCCTTTAGGTTCCTTTACAGCAGCAGTTTAATTCACCACCACAAAAGATCAGACCCCTAATATGGAGTATTTGCCAAATTTTCATTAAAATGACTCACTATACATAATTATATAAATGCAATAAACAAGACAATTCCGATCCCTAGATATAACACATAAATCACATATTTTGTATAGCAAGCCACTAAATGCAAACTGCCATAATATAAGACAGCAAACAAGCTGAACACTGAGTTACCTTGACATTGAAACCTAGATGGTCTACATCCAGCATATAAGCAGAATCCACCTGCAAAAATATAGAAACTTAGTTCAGAATTACTGGTTGGTAGCAGACTCTCTCTCTCTTTAACACCCCCTTCCTTATCTCTTCATTCCCAAGCATAGATACATCAATCTATATGTTCAATGTGGCACCTAGTAATGGAATCATGCAGTCTTTATCTCAAACAAGGAAAAGTGCTTCAGCTGTTGGGTTGGAAAACTACATTGGTGGTTTTTTAAAAATTTTGGAAGCTTTAACATTCAATGGCTTAAACACTCATTCTCGTATAAGTTGTAGCATAAACAGAGCTTCCAAGGCACATGCACCAGAAAGCTTGAAAAGAAACTGACTTCACTTGTTCAGAGGGCAAATTTTGCTCTATTTGTGTGTGCATGGCTGAAAAGTGTGCATGCATGTATGTTAGAACAATAATGGTGTATCAAATTACCGGCATGGTAGTAGAGTGCTTTACAATCAGCTTTGTATCTTCTTCATGATCCTTATTCATATGTGACTGACAAGAACAAGAGTTATCAAATAAAAAATCACAATGAATTATTACAGAAGTAATAACAGCCACCTTGTCATGGAAATACCGCTATTGGCTTGGAGAACTGAGATATTGGATCTGCCTTTGCTGCACTGTATTCCTCCCTGCTGAACTCTGTCAAGAAGATGAGATCAAGTTGGACGATAACATTAAATTAAAAATAGTCCTACGAAGTCCAAAAGCAACACGGAACTACAATCCAAAATAACTCAAAGGCCACACAATCAAATGCACAAAGTATTTAATTTCTAAAAAATAAAAAATTGGCTGAGAATGAGAAGGCCATCCCCAAAATATAAGAGAAGAAATAGATAGCAAATGACGGTATGTAAAGAACAAAAATAACAAAAACATATAATAAACTATGCAAAGGCAACTGCTAGTCAATGAACCCCAGCACCACTCAAGGCCATGCTAATCCACTAACATCTTGAAACAAAATACGTCAAACGTCTTATCAGATGGAAGAGTGGACAAGGGTGAGGGATGAGGGAAGCAAGTATCTGAATCACCACCTCAGAGTCAACAAAAAGCAGCAAAATTTGCACATATTGGCTCCACTTGAACTTTAAATTACAAGCTTCTCACAAATGAAAGACTAGAGAGTCAAACAGAGGAATTAATCAAACCTCCAGATCCCAATAAGGCGGTTGCCACCCCAGATACGTACCGCACCACTTTTGGTTGGATCTTCATAAATTGAAAGTCACCAAAGTCAACCTTCACACCCGAAAGGTTAGAGTTTTAGTTCATTAATAGACAATGTCACAACGAAGACAAAGTACCCATGAAAAGCCATTTCACCCAAAAGGTATATTGGACATACCCAAAAAGCATTGGGATGTTTAGCCAAATAAGCACTTCGAACAGCTTCTCTATCTTGTTCATTGACCTAAAATAAAATTCTCTGACATGAGCTACATTCAGAGAGTAGGCTTTGTAAATAGAAAAACCTGAACATAAGAAAGAATGAGGAACCTTACAGAAACTGCATCACCATGGAGAGTTATAACTAAATCAGTCCTGTCTTCTGGATCTTTTGCTACAAGCAGTGAGCACTGTGGATTGGCTAACAAGTCCTGCAAATCCAGAAGTGAGATTATAAAAGGGACATCCAAGATACCAGAAAGAGGTTTATGTTTGAGAGTGAAAAAAAGATTGGATGCCAGCTTTTCAATTGATGCTCATAACCACTCATCATCAGGAGATTAATTGAAGAATAATATAAACAAATGAAGACATTGTAGACTTGTCTACAATATTTTATGTCAGGAGACAAATCATCTTGAAGCAAGCACAACAAGAAATGAACAAATGAATAAAAGGATGACACTTAGTGAGAAGATTGTATATCAAAAGCAACTTTGGATTGAACTTATCAAGTTGCCAAGGGCTGAAAGGTCCAGCGGTAACAGCTCCACAAAATAGAACACTCCATATGCCAGCTTAGCAATCACAGCATCGAATCAAGGAAATTTATAATCCCCAATAAAATGGAGGAACAAGAAAAATGCCAAACTGTCCCTCCACATTCCTAAACAAGGCTATGGCTGGCTACATTGGAACTGCCAAATTCTCATTTTCCTCGTTATTGTGTCAATCAACCACATACAAGGGGTGCTATTAAAAAAGAGTTCTTCAAATTTTCTATGTTCATGTTGTGCTGAAAGATTAATCGCCCAAACTAAGGATTTACATAAAGGTAAAATTTTGGGTAGTAGACTCATAAATTCCAGATTACATGAATTTAAACTTGCTTTGAGAGAATAACACAAACACAAAAGGTATAATAATATCTTAACAAAAGATAAAAACCCTTAAGCAGTGTGGTCACCACTGAAAATTTATCGCTTTCAGCTTTCAAGATTATCTCATCAGAGCATTCACAGTTTCATACAACAGAAAGTATCATTGATGAGAACATTCCAAAGGAACTACTACTGCATAATATAGCTGTTGAGAATTGGGATAAGTGTGCTCAGACTGCTCACGTGTATTGTTCACGATAACCACCTTAGCAAGCTTGGAAGATTACAACTCCCATTGTCAAAAGTTGATATAGACCTTTTAATGTAGTTTGAGCGTGTAACAATATGGTTTGTGTTTCGGGGTTTTCTGATGTCCTGCGGGAGAGTTACAATTCCGAGACTGGAACCGGACGCCTGTACCTGCAAAACAAACGGATGCTCCGGATGATTGGAGATCCGCCTCCGACGGTCAAGTTAGTACTTGATTAAGGAGTAATTAATGCGGAAATTAAAGTGATTGGGTCTCTCTAGGTGAGAGTGTTTAATGTGTGTAATCTGCTTTTTTGCGTGTAATCTCCCTTAATGAGGATTAAGGGAGGTATTTATAACCTCGGGAAACGTGCCAATCTAGGTTTAGGTTAACCTTGGGCTGATTGGGCTTCCCTCGGAAGTTGGGCCTAGGTGACCGGTTATCCCAGGTGTCATGGGAAGGACACGTGTCGTGTCGTAATTGGTCCATAGTGGACGGATCATTGCTTGACACGTGGCAGGCTCCTATTGGCCCATGTGACGGACACATGGCGGAACCTGATTGGTCCACTTGTCAGATGGTGATTGGTGGGGAAAAATCCCCTAATCATTTGCCCCTCACAGGTGGCACGTGACTGGTCACGTGTTACCTGTGACAGGTATCGCCCTGTAACAGGCGACGGCCTGCTACATGTGTCACTCGGCGAGAGGCCGAGAGATTCTCCCGCCAAAATTTTGAATTCTGGAAGTGACCCTTCGCCTTCTCACTTCGCCTATATAAAGGAGTGTTGACTTCGGTCATTTTCACACTTGAATACTTTGTGAGCGAAAATTCGGACCCCTGAACTTGCTCTGACATTTTGGACCCTTTCTGCCTACCGCCTGCTCTGACAAGCCGACTGCAAAGGATTTTCAGAACTTCATCAATCGTCACTCGTTCAGGTAACCGTCGGTTCTCTTACTCTTAATTTTCTCTTTACTTTATTCTTTTTTGAAATGGCACCACGGAAGCACACGACACGACCTAGGTTAGTGATCAGCCGGTCACCGGGGACGGCTGAATCTAGGACTAGGAGTGCCGCCTGCCCTTTTCTGGACCCATCTTTGCCCTTTATACAAAGTCCGACTGTATCTGTGTCTATGCAGAACATGATGGCCAGAACAAAAAAGACTGTCAGGATCTCAAACTCAGACGGCTCCTCCCACAGGGTGCCGATTAGTGAAACATCTGACCAGGCGCCAGATGTGGAAGTGAAACAAAGCGGCTTGAAAGCCGGCAGCTCTGAGGGAGGAGTCAAAGTGACCCCTTCCCATTTTACCGTTGACAATTCTACATTCTCTCCTGCTCCTTTTAAAGGAGAGGAGGCGGGCCCCTCCGGGAGAGAGGAAGAGTCGTCCTCTTCGGACTCGTCAGAGGACGATTCCGAGTCTAGCTCTTCTGGACACAGAAGAGAAAAACAGTCGTCTACAAGAGGCGAGGCTTTCTCACGCAGTTGAGAAGGGGGACGATTGGGCGGAGCCATCCGCCTCTCACCGAGAGCAAAATACCCCCTACTACTGCACGGTACCTCGGGGCCGGATCACGGCCATGCAAGAGAAAGTGGAGAGCTTTATCGCAAACCACACAATGGGCCCCGGCTTTTTAGTGTTCGTGCCGGATCCAGAAGACACAGTCGTCTGGCCGGCTGGCACCAGTTATGATGGCGCCTGCTTTGGCTGCTACGAGGCGGCCATCAAGGCTGGGCTGCGCTTCCCACTACATCCGGCTGTTCAGCGGATCTTGGATGGGTATGAGTTGGGGTTATGGCAGTTAGCCCCGAACTCCTGGGTCAACGTACTCGGCTATGTGGCCGGGTGCGAACTGCACGGGGTGGAGCCGAGCTTCGAGGCTTTCGCCCACATGAACTACCTCAGCCGGACCCCTAAGGCAGGCGGTACCGGCTGGTATCAATTGACGAGCCACAGGGGCTACCTCATGACGAGAGATAAAGCAAACAAATGAAAGGACTGGCGGAGCACCTTCCTCATCATTGAGAGTTCAGACACAGAGCTGAACAAGCGCTTCAACAGGTGGAACAGGAATCCGCCCCTTCTTGCAGGCGGCCGCAGCATGCCGCCTGTTCCCCCCAAGGCTAAGAAAGAGATCCTAGATAAAGGACTCTTCAAAGTAGAGTCGAAGGTGAACTCTACTTCAGGGGTACGAGAGCAAGTACCCCTGCACTGCGTCCCGAGCTTCAAATGGCTCTTCGACGAGTATTTTTTGGCCGCCTGTGGCCTCAGCAGTCGGTGCTCAAGAGGTAGCCGGCCTGTCGAATACTCTGTTGTTCCATGCATTTCTTGTTATGACTTTTATTAACTTTGCTATTTGCTTTTGCAGCGGACGCCATGAGAAAAATTACCGCCTCCAAGACTGCGGCGGCCATGTTGCGGGCCTCCATCATGCAACAGTCTTCAACCGACTCCCCCAACAAGGGGGCACCCTTGGTGGGCTTCGAACCTTTCACCCTCTTTTTGGAGTTGTGTTTATGCATATACTGACTTTTCTTCTTTTTTAGACGAGCGCTCCAAGAGCTTCTTCTTCCCAACAGCCGGACCCCAAGGCCCGGAGGACGACTGTTGCGAGCTCTCCTGGTAGAACCAGGAAACATGTGGCGGCTGAGCCGGCCACTTCTTCTAAAACTCCAACTGAGCTACCTAGAAGTATGAAATTATCCTTGTAAATTTTAGACTTGCTCCCTTCTTTACTAGGTCTAATCCGTTTGTTTATGCTTGATGCAGCCGGCCCTCAGGAGCCTGACTTGGTCGAGGTGGCCAAGTCTATGATCAAGGCCGTTCCTCCAGCTGAAAGGGAGGCGGTCAGGGGTGTCGGCACCCTTGACCTAGACGGGATTGCAGGGGTCCTTGCTGAGATATACTTAGCATATTTTTGAGTATTTGAATTCCAGGACGCCTGTTTTCTTTTTGTTTGGAAACTGACGCCTGTTCCCCTTTGTACTTAGGCCCTGCTCTGAGTGAACGGCCTTCGCAAGCCGCTTGACCGGAAGAACAAAGAGGTAAAGGCTGCAAAAGCTATGGCCGCCTCTGACTGTGATAAGACAATGTTTCAAATTGCCCAAAATGAAGTTCTGACCATTGATATTCTTTATTATCAGGCGCAGGCTACCGCCGCTATCCGGGCTCAGTTAGAGGCGGCCCAGAAGAGGAATAGCGAGCTGGAGGCGACCATCAACAACCTCAAGGCCGAGCTGAGACCTCTTCGCCAAAAGATGTCCTCATACGAAACCTTGGAGAAATCCTTGGCGAGCGTAAAGGTACGGATAGTTAGTCACGCCGCCTATGCCCCTGGACGACTGGTTGTCTGTTTCCAGGCTAGACGATCAGTCGACCATTTATCCAATCGGTATTCGAACCATTTTAAAGACTGGATCCCCTTTAGGCAGGCGGTCCTGTCATTTGTAAAATTAACCAAGTAGGAAAGTGGTTTGACCAAGTAAACATGATTGTTACCTAGTCGCCAAGTAACTGAGTAGTAGAGGTATCAAGCGGTTGGTACCGGTTGTTCCCCTTTATTCGCCAATGTTTGTTGGCTTTTAACTCATAGGTTGTTAACCTAGCAGGAGTAGTGGTTGAGAGCCCCTGTTTGCTAAAAACAGGCGGACGACTCATACCTTTTAGGCTCCATACTAAGTTTAAGAGAGTGACTATGAGTTAACTTTGGTGTTACTTAGTCGCTGTCACTCCTGCTTGAGTAGTAAAGGTACCAGGCGGCGGAGGCCGGCTGATCCTTTAGATTCGCCAATGTTTGTTGGCTATTAACTCAAGAGGTACCCCCTGCATTTATCCCAAGTAATACAGGCGGTCATCTGACTCAGATGTCAACTGCTACCACTGGTTTGGTTAGTGATAGAGTTATCCTTGTCTCAAAAACGGCTACGTGGTTGCCCTTGGGGACAGTCGTATAGGTGCCGTGTAATTAGTTTATAGAGCAATGTTCCACCCAAAAGGGAGCTGCTCTCTGCGACGAATTTCATCCGGAGGGATGCCGCCGGACGCCTGCTATGATGTTGGGACAGGTCGTATTA